TAAAACAAAACGTTGAACAAATTCATGAATTATGTATTTCATTATCCAAGACTTTAAAGTATGCTAAAGACCGAAATCAAAAAAAGGGTAAGACTTTAATAAAAGTCCACAAACATTTGTTGTTAGCATAAACTCTACCTTAACGAAATTGATAACCATCAACACCCTAAGAGTTACCTTTTTATACTAACACCGAACTAACGAAGATTATTCGTTTCTGTTTTCTTTTCCCAACAGAACTTAGTTTCGGCGATACTTGTAAGTACCGGATACGGATAATATAACAGTCAAAGGTTCTTACATCGACATTGTAGCATGTTATTTACCAACAGTAGGTGCTTTATAATGTGGTATTGGGCCTATTAATCTTTCCATACATTTGGATATATCTGTACATTGTTTTTGCTTGTTTTTAATTTATATAGTGTGCATGTTTCCCATTTAAGTTCTGCCTTCGGTTGTGCTTCAGATTACGTCCACAATTAAACCGAACATTTTTTGCGCACACTCTTATGATCGATTTACGTATATTATTTCTTCCTGGTTGCTCCCACGTATTGTCTCATTCTCCCACTGTATTCCTTTCTCTGTCTCATTCATGCCAGCTTAGGCTTGTTTCTGGTGTGTACGTAGTCTTGCAAAAATACAATGTTGTAAATTATACTACATTTTATGTAACTGTATCGGCGACATCACATATAAAGTTACATAACATAGTTTGTATATATTGTGGAAACGCTTTTGAAATGGATTTAGGAACATGATGACCTCATCTACCACGTTTAATGTGTACTTATACCCCTTGCAACTACTTATCTCATCCAAGTGATTCGTTTTTTCCTAGGTTTGTGGAAATGCGCGCGGTGCTAAAATACGATCCATACTCAGCTCAATTATTCAGAGTGAGACGATCTACGTGGAATGTCTTAACAAAATGATGCAGGTGAGTAATTAATAAAAATTTTCTTTTTGTGGGAAGGTATAAAATTAGGTTTTCTCAAGATATTCAAAGTTTAATATAAAAATCACGAGAAATTATTTGCTATTCAAATTGGAAAGGTCTTAAACAAAAAAAAAACAGGATCGATGTAAAACTTTGACAAGGTGAAACATATACCCATGCAATAATTATATATTAAAAAAAGCAGTCTATACCGAATATGAACAATTATAAATAAAAAACAACGAAACTTTGATTTCTTTTATAATATTATTAATTAATTTTCCGACTGTTCATATAACAGTTCAATGATATAGTCGTTCCATTCGTATCAATTTAAAACCCAATTATGTATTATCAAAGAACCAAACCAGAACACTTTATGAACACCCACCCACAACGAAAGTCCAAAAAATAAGTTTTCGATTAATCCTATGGCAGCTAGATCATATATGAGTCCGATTCGGCCCGTTCCGACTTATATGCTTCCTGATCAAGATTATATATACTTCATATGGTCTCAAATTCCCCCTTACTACGTAGCAAGCTTCTGACTGAAATTAATATATCCTCTGCGAGGGCATAAAAAGTGACTGACGGAGTTACAACGTAATTTATATAAGGTGGTAAATTTGCTAATATGGCTAATTCCTATTTCTACCAAATGCAGTACAAGAAGGCTATCCACGCAACCCTAACTACTTCGCAACCTGTGATCAGGGAGGAGGAGGAAAACACAATTTTCTTTAAAATCGATGAGCTCTACGATCTGCATACCGCCTTCTTATCTGATTTAAAGACCATTGTGTCTCATGAGGGCGGTGATGTGCTGATCGGTGAGCCGTTTCGTCGACTGGCGGATATGTTTGACTTATACAGTGCCTTTTTGCACAACTACAAAAATGCTATTGAAACGGTGAAGAAGTGCAGTGCAAATAATCCCCAGTTCAAAAAAATCGTCTCTACCATTGTGCTAAATCTACAAACGGAGCAATCACTAACTCTCGAGGATCTATTGCACAAACCAGTTGCGAGGGTGCAAATAAACGCATTGGTCTTCAACGATTTGCTGCGCGAAACCCCAAATGCGCATCCAGATCACCAGCCATTAAGACAGGCTCAAAAAATTATTCAGATGTTCCTGAATCAATTTAATGTGGTCAATCAGCGGCTGCCCATTGAATCGAATCGGAATTTGAGACGCATGGTGCGGAACTCGTTTATTGTGGAACTTGTCGATGGGCATCGCAAGCTGCGGCATCTCTTTCTTTTTAATGATGTCATTGCATGTGCCAAGTATAAGGCATTAGGCCGCGATCGCATCGACTATGAGCTTAAGTGGTTCATTCCGCTAAAGGACGTATCCATTTACGAGGAAGCAGATCCGGCGGTTGAGCTTAAGGAATCTAGTCCAGCGAACATTTCGCAAGTAAAACGCAATTTGCGTTCCGTTCGAGATCAATTGGCCATGGAGGTGGCTAACAGTGGAAATGGAGGCTTCCGTTCCGGGGAAAAGTATCGCCGTAAGCTGGCGGATCTGGAATCGCAGCTGGTGCTGGCAACACCCAATTTGGTGTTGCGCCTGGGAAACAAGGCAAATAATAAAACCATAACCTTTTTTCTTAGCTCGGATTTTGAGAGGATGCAGTGGATCGACTCAATCTCATCCCTTAAGGTTAGTTTTTTCGACCTACTTCAACTAAATAAGGCGATAAAATATACATACATGTTTATTTAGCAAAAGTGCAACCTGCCTGGAGCAAATACTATTAATTCATTGGAGGTTACCGCCTTCATTGTGGCCATGCAGAAGGGCATGAAAACTGAAATGGGTTCATATCTTATGCGTAACACCAACGACGAGAGCCTGCTGGTTGGAGACCTGTACATGGGTGTCCAGGGATTGGAAGGACTGGAGCAGGCAGGCGACCTGTACATATGTGTCGAGGTGGATTCTTATGGCCACTATTTTCGCAAGGCCACAACAAAGATAATATGTCGCAGTCCAACGCCGCTATGGAACGAGAGCTTTATGCTAGAACTGGAGGGCAGCCAGAATGTGCGCATCCTTCTCTATGAGGACAAGGAGCGGCCGCTTCTTAGAGCCAAGCACATACTAAAGGTGGCAGCTTATAGTTTAACTTTGTTATTCTATTTTACATCAATAATTCCGTTTGATTTCATAGTTAAGCCTAAGTTGGCTGACAGAAACTACGCAGCCGAAGTCTATTAAACTTAGTGAGACCTTAGAGCTCGGCTGCAGCTTCCGTTTTATTCCAGGCGAGCTATGCCGTGGCAACACTAAGCCAGGAGCCCTTTTCGGTGCCAAAATGAGTCAAGTATTAAAGTAAATAATAGTTCTAATAAATTCAATAAACTATGTATGAAATTTTAATTATAAATTTATATTTGTATATTTTGGTTAATTTAGACGTGAAAAACGCGACATTCCGTTCATCATAGGCGCCTGTATTCGGGAGGTAGAGCGGCGTGGGATGCTGGAGGTTGGCTGCTACCGCGTCAGCGGGTCCGCTTCTGATTTGGCAAAGCTTAAGAAGGCCTTTGAGTCTGGTGAATATACGGCTTTGATGGGTAACCAAGTCTTATTACTAATTTGCCCTTTTATTTTATTTTCTTCAGATGCCTATGAGGCGGAGCAGTTGCTACGCGAGGTTGACATCCATTCGGTTACGGGCATTTTGAAGACTTTTCTAAGGGAGCTCCCCGAAGCCCTATTCACGGATCAGCTTTATCCACGATTTTTCGACACATTCAGCGCCTTTAGCAACAACAACGAATCCACACGAATCAACGAGCTTCTTAAAGTTTTTGAGGAGTTGCCGCAGGCCAACAAAGCCTCCATCACTTCGATATTAGATCATTTAATAAGGTTTGCTTCGTTTAGCTGCATGTCAAAAATATACTTATACTTATTTTTGTCACGACTAATTTTAGAGTCCACGAAAAGGAGACAGATAACAAGATGTCGTTGCACAATCTGGCCATGGTCTTTGGACCAACCTTGCTGAGGCCTGGCCAAACGCAGGTGAAGCAGAAGGATCCACTGGCAGCCAGCACTGTCGACGTTATGGCTCAGGCAGGAATCCTATACTGCTTTCTTCAGGCACGCATCAAGAAGGATTAGGACTTCGTGAGCCGTTTGCACAGTTACATATGGAAATATATATATGTACCAAAATTATAGATATTTTGTTTACAAAAAATAGCAGTAATAAGAGCGAAGTTGATGGATAGCATACGCATACACCACGCTCCGATCGTTCTAGCATCCCCTATATTATACAAGAAACCGCCCAAATACCTTGAGCTACGGAAAAGGTCCTTAAATTCTTAAAACACCCAAAAACACTGGTGCTGCCTATTGTATATACCAGAATCCGAAACTGCAATTCCAAACCGAATATAATATGACGAGAAAAAGGAAAACAGCGAGATCAATGTAAGGACCCAGGGATGACAACATATCAGCTCAATCTTGGGTCACCCACGCACATTGCACAAGTGTTTAACATTTGTACACCGCTGCTTCTTCGTTTACTGAAAATTACTCCCATGCATTAAACGTACTTCACTAGATCTGTAGGCTGTCTCCTTTAGGACTGCAACTTCTGCTTACTGCAACAATTGCAAAAAAAAAAAAAACTGAAAAGTGGAATTATTTTCAATAATTAACGTATATATATACAAGCATAGGTATATATATATATATATATATCGCTACATTTTTATATATTGTTACTTATATATATACATATATATGTTATATATTATAAATATATATATATATATATATATATATATATATATATATATATATATATAAATATATTTACTTATATATATATTCCCACTTATTAATACTTTAATTTACAGAAGTATTTATAGTTAGCTTTCCCGGCTGATTGATATAAAATATGTCTGCCCTTAAAATTTATTTTTTTTTAATTATTTAGGTTTTACATAAAAATGAACGTAAAATAAAATATAATCTATTTAGATATTGCTATAGAACTACGAGATTATTATTCAGACAATGTAATTGTAATTCAGGGAACTTTTTTATTTTATATATCAGTAATTTAAAAATTATATCGTGTACTTTATACATTTTCAAGCTAGGGGCATGGAGATTTTAGCTTTTTCTCAACATCTTGATTTGGCTGCGGACTTCTCTCTACATCGATGATGGATTTTTTTCTACGTTTGGGTGAAGCGCAAAGTGCCCAAGTGGCACCGTAATCGATCGCCGTCTGCTTGCAAAGCTTCTCCACATCGTGGTTGCCAAGTGTACCAATTGACGACCGTAGAAATGCGCACAGGCTCTTAAAGCGTTGAAGGCGCGTTTGGATTACGCCGTGGAGATGTAGTCAACAAAGCAGAAGTCACAATGCGAATACGAGGGAATACGTAAGGAATGCAGAAATAGTATTTAAAATTTCTGAACAGGTATGACCAATACGTACTTGAATATGTCTTAAATGTCTCGACTTTTTCTGCCCGTTTGTTTCTTTTGAGAGTCGAGCGCTGCTTTACCTTGGGCTCTGAAAACGATCTGAACGTTAACCAAGTAAAAAATATTTTTGGGCCACATGGTTCACTCAGCATCCGATTGCTGCGCTTGAGTCCACTGAATTGCTATCAAAGTAGGTGTGCTGCAAGATCTTATGAGCGCGCTATGCCACTAAGAAAATCTCTTACTAAATAGAGCAGTTCGATAGGAAGTTTAGATTCCTGCGATTTTTAGGATTGGAAGTAATCCAAGAGAAATCTTGGCAATTTAAACAGTAACCAAATGTTAAATGTGGTTCTTCATTATCTTTTAGTCTTTCCTTTTGCTTCTCCTCAAACATTCTGATTTCGAAACCACTGGCTCTCCAATCCAACTAAAGTGGATTATTTTTGATTTTTCTGTATGTCAACTTCATGGAAGTTTTTCTCCAAAGAAACACGGTACTCGATATGTGCCGTCACACTACCGCTATATGGTAACAATCCTGTCAATCCCGCACAAATCGACTAACGATGAGGGCAAGATCCGAAGACTGTCTGCCGGCAGATTTTTGATAGTATACCATCCTCCAACTTTATTAGCCGGGAATTTAGCTATGGAGCTGTTTTACAAAAATTCGACACATTTTATGTAGGTACCTTCCACTGAATAAATATATTTTAAAACATTAACAAAGAAAAATGTTACAACCGTGCAATACAACTGCAAAAATACGATAGTATTATCGATAGTACCCCGGTCAACAACATCGATATGTCTTAGATAATCGCCATAGTCAAATGAATTTTGCGTTTTATGCCTGGGATTCAATACCAAACGCTTTTTTATATTTTAACGAAAAAAAAGTAAATCTATTTACAAGTTTAATTAAAGTGGATTAATTAAAAAAATTTTAAATAGTTAAAAATTTACAAACATTTTTAAATGCGCCTTACAAGTTTGACTTATTTTCATTTGAATACATTGAATCGTTGCATTCAAGCAGCTTTGTCTCCAACCTTTCCAATTCATATTTTGCGTTCCAGAAAATCCTATGTAAGTTATCGAGTTCTGCATTTAACTCATCAGTACCGTAATCAATCCTGGTCAAGTCTGATCGCATCATCCAGGTTACTGAGTCAATAGCTTTTTGTTCCTCGTGCAGAACCATTTGTACTTCGAACTGCATTTCCTTTAACTTATTGATATAGCATCGGCGTTTCGATACGGCCCATTGTCTCTTGCAAGTATGTACAATGAGTACCATGGCACACATCGAAACTGTTGTGAATATCAACTCATCGAACATTTTCTATGTATACTTTATATATTTTTATGTTACCGTTTGAACAGTGCTGACGTTGAGGCACAGACTATATATTGTCATGAACTAAGTCAAGTTTATTTAACAAAAAACTCCAAGCTAATTTAAAACGGAACCCCTTGGATTTTATGTTTAACACTTGAGTACAAATTAAATGCTGATTATCTATAGTTTAAGGTACATATATTTTATTAAAGAACTCTTCACTCCCACTGAGAAAGCCCGCTTCATTTATAAGAATATATAACATATATTTATAAGAATCAGCTGATATCTGCTTGTGCATTCGTTGCAGACATGAAAAAGAAAGGAAGAAGAACCAACTACACTTCAATGATACATATGTGGGAGCTTAACCAACAATTAAACAAATTGGCTGCCAAATGGTTTCAAAGCCAATTGAAGTTGTAATACGCATTATAGGACGTATTCAGACTCGATCACTTTTTAAAACAGATTTTAAGTATCCGGATGATGGGTGCTTCAAAAAATGCGGATATGACAAAGGCAGAGCCGAAGGACACGACGGCGTTGCCTAAAAACAAGGTCAGTATGAGAGGATTACTTAGGTGGACAGTGCCACTCATGTGCGAAGAGCAGATGAACATTATGATAGGATGGATTAAATAGGCACAGTATGTGAGTCGTGAAAGTGGCCACATAACGCGATACGACAGGATTGCATTTACGGTCGGCGCTAGCCCCCAACAGCAGGATAAGACGATCCACACTAGCCCGCATCCAAAGGCTGTATGGGCCACGCCTACGTAAAACGCGCTGCTGGCGGTGCCTAAATGTCCTTCCCAAACCCCAAAGACCACGATCAGAAGCACAAACAGGCTGCCTCCCCAAAGGCATAGGTTTAAACGCCTGGAAATTAGTGGCGGAGTCTTCACCTTGTACAAAACGTATCCGGCGCACATTCCTGTAAAAGAAATGAAAAAGTGAATGATTAGGGTAAGTCAAGAATTAAATTCACATTTTGAACTAAGTTCCCATATAATTGCAATGTGTTGTTCAAGTATTATTTCTAAATGTGTGCATAAAAAGTAGTATTTTGTCTTTGAGAATCAATCGGTGGTATACGAATTTTAAACATATAATGTATATTTTTTGACTGTTTTTATATCCTTGTAAAAAGTTTATTGATTACAGTCAGAAGTTTGCAACGCATTAGATGAAAAATCTGCAACAATATAGAGTATAATGATCAGTATCGGTATAGCCATGTCCGTCCGTCCGTTTCCCTCTCAGTTATAAAACGATCTTCGAAAAAAGTTCTGAAGCGTCATATTTCGTATGTCATCTTAACTATGTAATAGGCAGAAGGAAACGTCATTTCATTGATCATTTTTCCCCAATTTATACCGATATTCCAGAAAATGTTAAAATTTCTTGTTTGCACTTCCACCAGCTGAGTAACGGGTATCTGATAGGAACTCGACTATAGCATTTTATTTTGTTTTATATATATTTAAATACTACATTCCTTTGCCAAAGCTTCTTATCATGTTTTTATGTATTTCAAAAGCGTAATGATCTTTGAGGGTTCGTACCCTCATTGTAGATTTATTTTAAGTGTTACTAAAAAATGGTTTATTTCCATGTAATTTGGATTAACAATTCTCTTACTCAGTTAAGTGTTTACTCACCCACTATGTAAGAGCCCACTCGTTGCCATGGTTTGTCATACAGGAAGTCAAAAGACTCGAAGGGCAGGGAAACTTTATGGGTGTACTGATGTGTCAAGGATATAATACCAGAAATGCTCCACGAGCTGAGTAGAAAAACGAATAGCGTAATAGCCACGGCTTTGAAGTACCTGAAAACACCAAGTTTTAAATTCAAAGGCAAGTAAAGGAGAGAAGCTTTTACTCACTTTCTGGCCAAAGCCAAAAGCAGAGCAGCCATTACATAAAACTGCATTTCGTTGGCCATATACCAGCTCCACATCATGCACATTTCGGTTTGCGGAAAATAGTTGTTTATATACAAAATATTGCGCCACCAATACATGCGGCAAGTGTTGTGTTCGATTTTGGCAGGTTGAAATACCGAAGTGTCTAGCCCTTGTCTGTCATAATAAATCCATGTTACGGAAAAGTATTATAAGGAACCACAATAAATATAGCTCACCTTACGGCAAAGTCATTGAAGATGACTACAAAGAGATAAACTGGTGTTAGTCGTAGGTAGCGATAGAGCAGCATCATAAGCGTTTCTGAAAAGCAGCTTTTAATAAAAAGGCATTTTTCCGTCGGATGTTTACGATCCTGCTTGAGGTAGAGCAAAGTGACCAGCAGACCGCTGATAAAGAAGAATGAGTCTACCGAGAAGGTGGCATTGCCAATCATCTGATACCAAAAAGAGCGCTCTGTGATGATCCTTTCAAACTGGTGTTTTGATTGGTTAATGCGGTTAGTTTTTTTTTATTGTATAGTATTGCACTTACTTTATTTTCACCAATGGCAAACATCTGAAGATAAGTGTGCACCATCATGGTCCAAAGAACAGAGAATACTCTTAATCCATGCAGGCATGCAGTGTGGGTCTGCTTAGGGAAGCAATCAGTAGCAGATGAATTGAAATTTGTAGATACTTTACATCGTAACTTACCTCCTTGGTCTTGTTGATGTTTAGAATTGCCTTGGCATTGGTTTGCAAGGCGAAGCACAATAGTATTTGTTGGTGCAAAGCTGCGAAGAGTGATGAGGATTAGGAGTAGGATGAATGCCATTAGGTACATGGGCAATGATATGGTTTAATGCTCACCAAGAGATCGCTTCGCCTCATATGTTCCAGCTCCTCCAGCACAGCTCTCAGTTTCTACTTGATAATCGGACATTTCTAACTGCCCCCCAACTGGCGTGGAAGTGTTGGGGTCACTGAAATCCCGTTGAACACCATTTTCCATGTCAGATGAGTCCCCACATCTTTGTCTGTTTCCATTGACATCTACTTCGGGGATATCCGTTGAAGCACTTGTACTGCCCAAGGGCCGCATTTGAAATAGCTCGAAGGACTTGCCATAAAATACATCGTTTTTGGCAGAGGTTCTATCGCATTTGCCACTAATGGCTGTAATAGGAGCCACCACTAAAAGGCGTTCGTCGATTTTGAGCTGGTAATATGAAGCAACCAAAATCACCAGAAAAAGAGTGAGCATAAAGCTGCTACAGTGGGATAACAAACTTAATAAGTTGCATTTTTTTCTGAGATGATAACCTACATGAACACCTGAAACTTTAACTGTCGCCAGTGCGTATAGAGTCCGGGCACAGTGCGAACATGCAAGATCTGAAGCGGAAGTTGTTGTATCGATGTATTGTGTGCGCCCAGAACAGTGAGCATTCGAGCATGTGGATCAAGGGACAAGATAGATTTGACATCAATGTCAGAACAGGACTTGGGCAAACACTCTCCAAGACTCAAAAGCATCTGAAGAAAGAACATGATTTGGGGTTTGTAAATGTTGGAAATCTGAAATTTAAATCAAGAACAAACCGATCGATTCAGCCTGGGCAAATGAAGTGCAACATCCGCCACATAGAACTCCAGATCAAAGTGCTGTCGTTCTTCAGTTAAACTTTGGCGATTGAGCTCATAGCAAAATGAAAGCTGACCTAGCCACTTATCGTTTCCAAAGAGCAGCTGGCCACGATAGCGCCCAGATGAATCATAAGCTAGAAGGGTTAAGATCGGAATAAGATTAGAAATTAAGCAATGGATCCTCTCTTGTAGTGACTTACCCTTTTGGGCCCACTCATAGCTAGAATGAAGTGCCGTCAAATAGGCTTGCATCTCGATCCCGCAGACTGTGCGAACATTTGTTCGAATCTCAGAAATCTGCCAGTAAAAGTGGTCATAGAGATTTGCCACCAGTTGGAAATAGTTGGCCTGGTCATAAAAACTCTCAACTGCGCTGCCGTTTCCTGTCCCATTCGCGTTCGTCCCTAGATAACGATGGATGCTATTAATGGTACTGCCCAAGGTTTTTAGTTGCATATCATCGTCTCCACTTTGCTTAAGCAGATCGCGACTGAGTTTTGGTGCCATTGGCGGCTTACTACCCAGGATCTTTAGAATGTGAGTATTGGAAGTGCTGCTGATCATCGACAAAAGAGTCGTCGTCGTTCCTGGCAAAGTCGCTGTGGTGGGCTCTGTAGATAACTCGGCGATGTCTACATCCACAGTATCACTCCCATAAGGATTGGACGGATTGTAGCTAGTGTCCAAAGCCAGGACATGCTGCTCCTGATTGTTTAGATCACCTTTCTTAATAACCTCGTGTTCCAGATCCTCTAAATCACCCAAATTAAAGTCAAAGGTAACCGGATGCAGTTCGAACTCCTTGAGTGGTTGCGGTGGCTTTACATACTCAATGGTCGGTATGATCTTCTCCAGGGGCAAGTAAGGCTTCTTCTTCTGCGGCTTGAGCGGCAGGATCTCGTGTGTGTTTAATAATAATGGTAA